ACGACCTGCTGCCCTATTCATATACAAAGTTTAAGAAATGGACGATTCTCACCATAATCTTCCTGGTCCAGACATCGATGAACTTCAACACTTCGCTTTACTCGAACGGTTTAGGAGGCATTTCGGATGAATTTGGCATCAGCCTTCAGACGGCCCGCTGGGGAGCGGCCATCTATCTAATCACTTACGCATTCGGGTGCGAGCTTTGGGCACCGTGGTCCGAAGAGTATGGTCGCAAAAGGATTCTGCAGACCTCACTTCTCCTGGTCAACATCTGGTGCATTCCCGTCGCCCTTGCTCGCAACTTCGCCACCATTCTCGTCGGTCGAGCCCTCGGAGGCCTATCATGCGCCGGCGGCAGTGTCACCCTCGGCATGATTGCGGATATGTACGAGCCTGCCCACCAGCAGATTCCCGTCGCCTACATCGTCTTTTCTTCGGTGGGCGGATCAGTCCTGGGCCCCATCATCGGCGGTTTTGTCGAGACCTATCTGGACTGGAGATGGTGCATCTGGATCCAGCTGATCTTTGGCGGCTTCGTTCAGCTCCTTCACCTGTTTTTTGTTCCAGAGACGAGATGTACCCTCCTAATCGACAAAATCGCCAAGGAGCGCAGAGAGTCAGGCATGTGCGTCCATGTATACGGCCCCGGTGAAATCAGCGTCTTGCGTAATGAACGCTTCAGTTGGAAGGAGTTGATGCACACCTGGTTCCGTCCTTTCCACATGTTCGTTAAGGAACCGATCGTCCTTACCCTCTCGCTGCTGTCAGGATTTTCCGATGCCCTCATCTTTATGCAAATCCAGTCCTTCGTTCTGGTCTACAACCAGTGGGGGTTCTCCAAGGTTCAAATCGGTCTGGCTTTCATCCCGATTGGTCTGGGGTACATCATTGCATGGCTATCTTTCCTACCAGCTTTCAAGCGCAACGAGAGGGAACGCAACCTCAAGCCGCACGACGAGCATGCTCAATATGAATCTCGTCTATGGTGGCTGCTCTGGGTTGCCCCATGTCTGCCAATCGGTCTGATCATATTTGCCTGGACATGCAGCGGACCACCCATTCACTGGATTGGAACCATGGTGGGCTCTGCCATTATCGGCATTGCGAACTACTCTATCTACATGGCCACCATTGATGTAAGTTTATGTCCTCTCTCACTAGCCATCAAAGACAAACCATAGCTAACAAGGAACAACACAGTACATGATGTGCGCCTACGGACCCTACTCAGCCTCTGCCACCGGCGGCAACGGCTGGGCTCGCGACTTCCTCGCCGGCGTCCTGACCGTGCCTGCCACACCCTTCTTCACCAACATTGGTGGGAAGAGACACTTGGAGATTGCCAACACAATTCTCTTTGGCATCTCCCTGCTTCTCGTTGCGGCCGTTTATGTGGTATACAGCTACGGACCGACTCTCCGGAAGAAGTCCGTTTTTGCGCAGCAGTTGGTCAAAAAGGCCACTGAGGATCCTGACTCTGGACAGTCGCGGCCTCCTTCCAGGATTTCCGAGCTTTACTAAGCCTGAGGAGGTTCGTGAGTGGCTTGAGCAGAGTTGTTGTGATACTCCCTTGCCACAGGCGGATACGAGTTGACGATTTGAGGTATGTTCCTCGCTGGCGACCTCGTCATTAACTCAGTGCGCTCTCAAAAAGATCGAGACCAGTGTGACTAACACTCAAAGCAAGAAATTTACGAAGATTTGGAAAGAAACATGTTTCAAAGTTAGGATGAATGATGTTAACGAGACAATGGGTTCATGCTTTCATGTTTCACGAAGGGGCATGGACAGGCGTTTATGCTGGCTTTTTGTCTGCTTTACTAGTACCCATGTATTATTAGCAATGCGTAATGAGAATTGATTGAAGATCTGGTACTCTCATCAGTATCTCACTCCCTGGATAACAGCACTGGTGGAGTGTCTTTGATAAAGAAGCTGAGCTGAGGAGGAAATCCATGACAGTGCGATTAATACGGTCCACTTACACGAAGCGGCTGCCCCACTTTGATCTGGCCAAGGATTCAATTCCACTTTCGATGCAACTGCCCAGAGTGCCAGTCCACTGAGAGCCACTGTGTTGCGGGGATCGACATGGACGTTGAACTTTTTTCTGCCAATTCCCAGAACATTCGTCTTCCATACCATTGATTTTTGACATTTTCCAATTGATCTTTGCCAGCACCACCACCACCACCCTTCTTTTTCACGGCAAATCAATCACAATGGCGGACGACGGTGATATGTTTCTCAACTTCGAGATCGGAGATGCTCCGATCAAGCAGACAGTCAAGTACACTGGTGGCCGATGGAGGGACAGAGTCAAGGCGCAAAAGGGCGAGAAGGGTGGACAGACAAAACAGGACTCGACAGCTCGACGAGACACCGGTGCCGACTACTACGCGAACAGAGGCGCGAAACGTCAACGGACAGAAGATGGCGAGTCCGGTAGATTCTCAAAGACCCCACGAACAAGCAATCCCGCCGAGAGGGGCCCGCCGCCGCCGCCGACACATGCCATGAAGACCGGCCTTGTATCATCGCGACTCTTCACCTCGAACCCCGTCCCCGTTACCGACTTCGAAGAGCTCCCCCAACCCGAAGAGGCCGAGCCCGCACAACCTTCAAACGCTCCCCTGACCGCCGAAGCAGAGAACTTCCTCAATTTGGGTCTCTCCCGACGTGTATCCCAGCACCTGGCGACGAAGCTCGAGATGAAGGCGCCCACAGCCATCCAGAAGAACACGATACCACAATTAATCAAGGAGGACAGCGACGCCTTCCTACAAGCCGAGACGGGTTCCGGAAAGACGCTAGCATACCTGCTCCCCATCGTCCACAGGATATTGGCCCTCAGCCACAACGAGGACGGTACCCCCAAGTCTACCAAGGTGCACCGCAACTCGGGCCTCTTTGCTATCATCCTTGCTCCCACCCGCGAACTTTGCAAGCAGATTTCCGTTGTGCTCGAGAAGGTGCTGCGCTGCGCCCCTTGGCTGGTTTGCACCACGGTAATAGGTGGTGAAAGCAAAAAGTCCGAGAAGGCGCGCATCAGAAAGGGTGTCAACATCCTGATCGCTACCCCCGGTCGCCTGACGGATCATCTCGACAACACAAAGGTGCTCGATGTCGGTACGGTCCGCTGGTTGGTGCTGGATGAGGGTGATCGCATGATGGAAATGGGTTTCGAGGAGGATATCAGGACCATTGTCGGCAAGATCAGGGCGGGTGAACTGCAGAAGAAGAACGCCGAGGGTGTGGTTCTGGACGGCGTCCTTCCTTCGAGGAGGGTCACCGTTCTTTGCTCAGCTACCATGAAGATGAACGTGCAGAAGTTGGGCGAGATCAGTTTGGAGGATGCTATTCACATCACGGCGTCCAAGAGCGACATGGAGAAGGACGCCGAGACTGGTGCCGTTGAGACGGCGTTCTCTGCGCCCGCTCAGTTGAAGCAGGCTGCTATTATCACACCCGCCAAGTTGCGCTTGGTCACGCTTATTGCGCTGCTCAAGTCAACGTTCGCCAGAAAGGGCTCGGTAATGAAGGCCATCATCTTCATCTCGTGTGCCGACTCGGTTGACTACCACTTCGAGCTTCTCAAGTCTACCGCACCAAAGCCTGAACCCGAACCCAAGCCCGAAGGCGAAGCTCCTACGAAGCCGAACATTCACATCGAGTCGACTGTCGCGCCAGCAACATACATCACTTCCCCAGCCAATCCTACGGTTATGCTGCACAAGCTTCACGGTTCGCTCGCCCAGCCCGTTCGTAGTGCTACCCTCAAGGCCTTCAGCGAGTGCAAGGACCCCGCCGTGCTCATCACCACCGATATCTCCTCGCGTGGTCTCGATGTGCCCGCCGTCGAACTCGTCATCGAATACGACCCTGCCTTTGCCGTCCCCGACCACGTCCATCGTATCGGCCGTACTGCGCGTGCCGGTCGCGCCGGTAAAGCCGTCCTCTTCCTCCTCCCCGGTTCCGAAGAAGGCTACATCTCCATCCTGCCCAAATCAACCCCTATCGCTCCTCAGCTCTACGACTCTATCCTCCAAAAGGGCTTCGTCACCGACATCAACGTCCCCGGCACCGAATCCGGCATCCTCGAAACTGACCGTAATTCCTGGGCCTCCCGCGCCGAAGCGCTCCAACTGCACTTCGAACAGCGTCTCCTCGCTCCCGCTCCCGGCGCCGCCAACGCCACACCCGTGTTCGAATCCAAGAGCGAAAAATTCGCCGCCTCCAAACAAGGCAAAAAGGGCAAAGCGGCCGCCAAGAAGGACACCGAAGACAAGAAACCCGACAACCCCCTCTTGGTCTCCGCGCGCCAGGCCTTCCGCTCGCACATCCGCGCCTACGCCACGCACGTCCGCGAGGAGCGCATCTACTTTGACATTACGGCGTTGCATCTCGGTCACATGGCGAAGGCGTTCGGTCTGCGTGAAGCGCCCGGTGGTATTGGTGGTGGTGTGTCCAGGAGGACGCACAGGCCGGTGCAACCCGGTGATAAGACGAATAAGACTAGTAAGAGTGTTGGTGATGGAACGAGCACGAGGAAGGCTAAGAAGGATGATGATGAGAAGGATTATGGCGCGGCGGATGAGGATGCGGGTAGGAGGATGAGGGAGAAGATGAAGATGATGATGGGGAATATGGCTAGTGAGTTTAACTTGGGTTAAGCGGGTTGTTTTTTTGGAGGGGGGAAAGAGGGATGGGATGGATGGCAATTGTGGAACAAAGTGCATTATCATCAAGTTAAAAGAATAAGGTACTAGGAACATATACCCCAGGAGGAGAGAAGGTGTTGGTGTGGATGTGGGAATGGGAATAAAAGCTGGATATTTCTTTTGTTTGTGCAACAAGCTTGTTGGCTTTTTCCCCTTTGTTCTTTTTCGTTGGTGACGATTGTGATCTTGGTGTTTGCAAGTTTTGTCTCACCAGGTGACCCCAAGCTTATAAGTGGACTTTCCCGACGGCCAATCACACAAAAATACAACGCAAAAGCCCGCGTGGCGCAATTGGTTAGCGCGTCAGACTTTTAAGAAGAGTTTCCCGCAAGGAAATTCCTTCTAGGCCATCTGAATGTTGCGAGTTCGAGTCTCGCCGTGGGCGATTCTTTTTTCTGTTTTTTTTCCCCTTTTTGCACCTGGTCAATCCTGCCTTTTGGCGTTGTTGGTTCTTTCCTCTTATTTTTTGCTTATTTATTTTATCATGAAAGTGGGAGTTTTGTAACAGTTGTTTTTGTGGATAGTGAGCTCGACGCCGACGTCATTTTTGCATGCGATGATGATACATGCAGATGCTTTTCTTCATTTTGTTTGCGTTGGAGGTCTTTGGTGAAACAACATTGCAAAATCACGGGAAAACATCACCCAGCCTGGAAGTATCTCAATAACAATGCGTCTCCCATTCACTCGAACTTTTTTCTTTTCAACCTCTCCATTTCTGTCGAGGGCAAGTCCAAAAGCTACAATGTTCAACTTCTCTCTTCGGTACGGTGTTGACGTGCACAGGCCAAAAACCGTCACCAGATATCTGTCAAGATAACGATAAGGCTTTTTGTTTGAGAAGTGGAAGGAACATCCTCTGAAATGCAAACCGATTGCGCCTTCCCGTTCCAATCCATTACGAGGCAATTAATTTCTTCCTCTTCTCTCTCTTCAACATTTCAGTTTCCAATTACTCAATTTCGCTTTTCCATCATATATCCTCCTTGAACCCTCTCAATGACCAACCAGGCAGCACACAAGCAATGTGTCTCCCTAACAACCCATCATAAATCGCTTCTCCTCCTGACAACCGATGAATCAGGCCTCGGATCCATTCCAAGTCTTCCCTTTCTTCTTCCTCCTGTCTTTCCTTCGTCATGAGCAGCGACGCCGGTCTCCGATCCTCCAGTGGCACCTTAGCAAGCACATCCACCATCGCGCAAGCGATGTCAAACACCTTTTCTGTCAGCCCGACGCCATGTACGCGGATGCTTTCTAGGGGAAGAGATTTGGTGACGGCGACAAGTTCGTGAGCGATCGAGAGGGGGTGGTGGTAGGTTAATGACTCTTTCACACCTGTGGCACCAATGGGAGAGGAAGCGACGGCCGTGGTAGGACGAGGAGGTGGTGGGATGAGAAGACCGATACGCAGACGGATCTGCCAGAGAATCACACGCAGCCAGAGCTGGGTGATCTTCAGGTTGGCAACTTGAGTGGTGTGGAGGTGGCCGGTTGGGAGAAGGCAAGGCGCTTGTCCCGCGGTCGGGGAGGCAGGCATGGAATCCAGTAACCGACCATCGGGTGACATTGACGGGAGCGAAACCGACCCCGGACTCGAACCCGAACCCAGACCTGGAAGCGGGCCAGCCGCTGGACTCGGACCGGGCACAGCCTCCGCAATTGACTTCTCTACCACATCCAGAGGCGCCGCCACCATCGCCGGACTAGCAAACAAGCTCGCGCTCGTCACTTCCTCGTTCAGCAAGGACATGAACCCCGTATCCAACTGCCTGAACAGCGCTACCAGGCTCGCTAGACCCGCAAACTCTGGATCGGTACAGAAATCCAGCGACGGTGTGGCGGGCGTGATCTGCAGCGTTATGGGCCTTCGGTATCTTATCCCATGCGACCTTTCGCTGACCAAAAGCACCCAAAATAATCTATTCGCCAACGACTTTCGAACTCTCGCCAACTCTCGCGCTTCCCCTTCTTGAGTGCCGGACCCATCATCGATCCTCAAAACAACCCACAGTGTTGTGGCCTCCCTCAACCAGAAGAATGCTTGACTATGATGGAACAACACAGCATGGCATGCGTACAGGAAGAAAGTGATCAACACCCTCTCGAGCGTAGGGGCAAACCTTCTCTGCGCCAAAGCCCTGTGGTGACTGGCTTGAGCTTCTTCAAAGAGAAGCCGGCCATAGACGGAGTTGGAGTGTGGGACGCCGTGTGAGGTGAACAGTTGCGAGGTCGGGTGCTCGATTTGAAGGAGAACAAGGGCGGAGAGAGAGAGCAGCAGGGTCTGAGCTTCTGCGCCTTCGTTCTTTGAGGGCTGAGAGGAAGAGACGTGGAGGAGTTGGTCGACGTATGAATGCGTGAGAATGGGAATGGTGGGGTAGAGTCGGGAGAAGAAGCGCGATATGCAGTGGTCCAAGACGGCTCTGGGGACAGGATTGACGCCAGGCTGTAGGTGTTGCGCCTGGTGAGGTGAGGTCGCTGATGCTGCGCCGCTGCTGATCAGAGGGTAGCCGACCAGACTCTCTGGACTGGCTGGAAGTTGGGTAAAGGACCATGTTCCTGTTGCCGTGACTGTTGCTGCTGCTGCTGTAACTGGCTCCACCATGCCGGGCTGAGATCGCGGCAAACTAACTTGTGTCTGGGATAGGGACTGGGAATGATGATGTCCTCCATTTCGGCTGCTTCCACCTCGATGACACTCGACCGCCATCTCGCTCCGGAGACATTGATCCTCCAGTCCAACTCCGATGCATCTCTGACACGGCCGCGACTCGCTACACCCCTTTTGCAGTCGCCTACATCGCTGACAAGCCTTTGATACCTGGGCTCTCTTCTTCTGTCTCCGTACCGGACCTGGGCCTGTACCGGAAGTTACTGCTGCTGGAGGGATGTCACCGTGCCCAGACGGCATTGAGGCTGTCGCATTGGAGGAGGAAGAAGAGCCGCTTGCCGATGTGGGTACGGGCTCAGCCGAGTGGTCAATCGCAACGAGAGCCGCATGGCTGTCAAAAGCGGGTTCGGGGGCATGTCGGTCGACGACAGTGTTATCGTCTTCATCGTCATTCCAACCCATGTCGCCGCCTATCGCCTAGTAGCGGCCTTCCTATTCTCCCATGATGCGGCGCGTCTCGGAATAGTGCCGAACGGTTGCCCGGCCGGCCTTGCCTCGTCCCGTCCCGCCGTTACTCAATAACAGTCGATCAAAAACGCGTCTTTTCGGTCCTAAGGTGCAGAAGCGAGACAAGGTTTGTTTTGTGGACTTGATCTGTCACCGCTCGTCCCACTTCTTCTGAAGAATTGATAGCTTGCCAAACTAACACAATGACAGGTGAAAAGATGTATGGTGGAAAAAGGTGAGAGAGGATCGCATAAGTCCAGAAACTGGCATGAATGGTGATGTGATCGGGTGATCCCCTGGATCTGCCGCTCCCCCAATGAAACCTTGCCGTCGTTTCAAGCTTTTACAGCAATGTACCCGCTATATTGACTTGGCACTAGCCTGCAAAGAGCCACTAACTCGCCTGAAAGGGAAATTTGTGCGCCGCCCAGGATGGGAGGCAAAAAACATCGCGACAGCAAGCACCCACGACATACAACAAGCGGTGCGATTTCGTTGACGAGGCATTTTGGTACGGTGACTGCCAGTTTCAGTTCTTCGACATAAGCTTTACTTATCTGATGCGGTGTTTGGTCAATTCCTAAAGGCCATCTACATTCGACCAACGACCTGGTCAACAAGCTGCTTTGCCCCGACTTCACGGCATTTTCTTACGAATGTTTCGGGACACTCACACTTTCTACCACAAACACACAGGAAATTACAAGAGCTGATTCATCACAGGTATCATTAATTCGCTATCAAGAACACATGATCAAGCGTCCCTACACTCAAGACGTTCAAGCCTTAGTCTCCTTTGCCTCATGGCTCTGCATCTCCTCGAGCGACAACTTCTTCTCGCCATGATGCTGCAAGTCAAAGGGGTCAACCTTGGTCTTTGCAAACTTCCTCGCGGCAACCTTCTTCTCAAACAGAATATCCAACTCAGCATACGTCCTTCCCTTCGGCTCCGGTAGTCTGAAGAACACCCAGATAGCAGACAACAAGCAGCTGCCAGCCCAGAAGAAGGCCGTTCTGGCGCCCCAGTTCCATGCCGTTGAGCTAAGCTGGTAGTTCGTCATGACGTTGACAAAGATGTTGCTTGCATTGTATGCCGCGCGGGCAAGCACAATGGTCTTGGCCTTGAGACGGGTTGAAGACAGCTCGGAAATGAGACAGTACGTGACCGGTCCGACAGCAAAGTCATAGACAAACGTGAAAGCAATCAGGACACCACCGATGGCCCATACGGAGGCTTTGTTGCCGCCGAAGGAAAGGCCGCCGACGATGATAAGCAGACAGAACTGTGCGCAAAGACCGCTGAAGTGGATGCGCCGACGACCGACACGCGACATGAGGAACCAAGAACCGGCGGTGCCGACCATGCCGAGGGCGTACTGGCCCATGGAAAGGGAGAAAGAGTTGCTCGGATCCATGCCGGCTTGTGTGAGGAAGTACGAGAAGTAACCCATGAGGTTCTGACCGCCGAGGGTTTGCACAAGCCAGATACCAACGACGATCTCCGTGCGACGGAGGTCAATACCCTTGAAGCAATCACGGAAAGTGACACCCTCCTTCAACTGCTTCTCGAGCTCGTTGGTATGCTCAATCATGGCGAGGGTCTCATCGACATTGAAACCGGGCTGGTTCCTGGATGTCAAACGGAGCAGCGACGCCTTTGCTTCCTCCCTCCTGTTGTGTCGGACGTACCACCAAGGCGACTCGGGAGCGAAGACGAGACCAGCGAGAATGGGAATCGGCCACACCCATTGTACACCGAAAGGAATCCGGTACGCCCATTGATCGGTGCGTCCTACGGAGCCCTTGTTGACGGCGGCGGCGAAGAATTGGCCAATAACCCAGCACATGTTGATGAAAGTTGTCAGGTACGGACGAAGCACCATCGGCGCAACCTCGGAGGCATAGGCGGGTGTAACGCTCTGGAAGGCACCCCAGGGAATACCTGTTTGGGTTCGGACCGGTTAGCATACCACTTCAACGTCTCGGTACATGGAAGTCCGAAATGCATAGCGACTCTTGGCCCCTTGGAAAGGAACGTATGCATGATAGGGTATCGAATTGGAGATGCAACTCACCACAAAGGATCTCGCCAACCACCAACACCTTGACATTCGGCGCAAAGAACAACACAAAGATGAAGGCAATCATCAACACCAAGCTGACAATCGTCGTGTTTCTGTATCCAATACGATCAGCAGCCCAACCCGCCAGGATCAAGCCGAAGATCTCGCCGGCTCTAGCTCCATTGGACAGGCCGGACTGCCAAG